TTCTTGTTTTTTTTTTTTTTTTGCTTGATGGGAGTTGAATCATTGAGTAATGCTGGTATTAGTGTTCCTTCTGATCTGTTGCTAAGAAATTTCTATCTAGTTCTGGTTGGACATCCAGCACTTGAAGATTGGCTTTTTAGGACTGTTGTTGTAGATGTAAAGCAGTTTAGATCCTATCCTTGTCAAGTAGACAAAGGCCATATGGTTCTTCTTTGATAGTGGAACTTTTTTTTCGTTTAATCTGTTTTCTGGCCTGGTCAGGCACAAAATGAAAAGGATTTTTTTGTGCTTCTTTTGCAGATATTATGCGCAAACAGGTATATTTGAAATTTTCTTTTGTATACTGTAGGTTGTTACTAAATGTTGATCCTTGCAACACTATGTTGCAACAAACATGATATTTCAAAGCTTCTAAATGCTGTGGAGATGTAAAAACTGTAAATCATGTCCTTTTTTCAGGTCAAATTGGATTCATGATTTGGATTGTTTTGGTGGTAGTACTGAAAACTCACCGTCCCAGGTCCATATAGACATTGCATCAGAGCTATTTTTGCCTCGTTTGTTTGTTGGAAATTTTGTTATGACCTCTATTAACCGGTTAAGAGTGATTGAGCTTGTCCAAAAAAGTTGTTTTCCGACTCTAGTGTGGCTAGGCAGAATTGCAAGCTGGTTCTGCAAAAGTCTTGGTTGCATTTTGCTGTTTTCAGTGAATTCTTGCATCTTTCCACAAGACCACTCATATATGACGGGGGAGAGTACTATTTGAACGTAGGGGACGAGTGAGTACTGATTTGATAGTACTTTTAAGTGTTTATAAGTTGTGGATCGTACAAAATACGTTGAATATAAATAAATAGTAAGCTCATGACACGAGTAGATAAAAAGTATGTTTGATCATTTTAAATTATAAACGCCGGACATTCTCTGTCTTCCCAGGTGTTGTGAACCTATGGACTGTCGGATATGTTTGATGGGTGAACCCTTTGGTTTGCGTCTTTGGAAGTTGAACAATGGTGAAAATTGTGAAATCCAGGACTAAAATGGAGAGCAGATTAAAGATTAAAGATAATTGACTGTCAATGTTACTTGAAGAACTAAAATGGATTACTTGTTGCTTGTTGGTGTTGGATTTTTATTGTTTTAAAACTTTGAATTTTTTTTCTCTAAAATCGCTTTTGTCACTTAGGATCTGTTCTCTTTACCGTTTTCAAGTCGTTTTCTGTTTTCAATTTTTCAAAACAGTGAAAACGCGTTTACTTTCCTATTTTCGAAAACGTGTTTTTGAAAAGGAAACAAAAAACGTCCAAAACGTTAAAAACAACGTTTTGGAAAATTTGAAGCCAAAACAGGGTTTTTTTCACAAAATACGGGAAATAACTTCTAGAAACCCACAATCCACAAACCCCTCTCTCTCTACAGTCTCCCGTATCACTATGTGCTTTACCATTTTCATCTCACAAACCCACAATCCATTTATTTGCCGAAACCAATCATGTTTCGCCTCTGATTTTTTAATTTGTTGGGTGTTAAACAATTTCCATTGGCGATCTCTGATTCATCACACACGCACATATAGTTTCTGTCTGAAGAAGAAAAATGGGTTAATTTGTTGGGTGTTAAATAATTTCATTCACGATGTGGAGGCGGAATTTCTGAGGCGGCTTGGATAATTGTGGGGGCGGTGAATTCGCAGGGAGAAGGGTAGATGGAGGTGGAGGCAGAATTTCATTGATTGTGTTGGGGTTGTATAAAATCTGTTCATTTGAAAAAAAAAATTGGAAATCCCTTCAAACTTCAGTCAACCCTTTCTTCTTCTTCACAACTTCTCTGCCATACTTTCGTTTTCTTCGATTTCTTGTTTTTTTCTTCGAATTTTTGCTGGGTTCGTTTGATCTATTTCGGTTTGTTGGGTTCTTCATGTTTTTGGCTTCTTCAAGTGTAATTATGTGATTTCATTAGTTACTGCAGGATACTAGATTCCATCACTCTCTTGATTGAGAGTAATTTGTTTAACATGTGATCATCTAAGGATGTTTTAAGATGGAAATTTTGCATATCATAGAAAAGATATTGACATCAGTGCATCAAAACTGTGTCATTGATGCACAAAGTAGTTTTCTGATGAAAAATGCTTGTAGTTTGTAGCATAAGATATGCTTAGGGAACCACTTAAAGTAATTATACTGTGTTTTTGCTCCTTGTTGTCTTCGCACAATGAGTAGGCAGGATTTCTCTGGAAATTGTATGTGAAGAAAAGAAAATAGGTTGATGCAAGGCCGCTAGTTTAGCTTAATTAATCATTGCACACATGTGCATATTTTAATTCGTCGTTTCCATTATTCAGTAGAATTCAGAATTCAATTGAATAATGTGGCTCAGTCATATATACATTATACATAGATTAGATGGGCCAAACTTCTATGGCTAGAGAGTGTGTGGGATTGCTTCTTGTGGCTCTGCTTAACCACAGAGTAATTAAGTGAGGAAATATTGTTTTTAATAGGATTGTCAAAGGTGATGTTGAACATGGTATTAGCCTATTAGACATAACAATGTGTTAGCTTCGTATTGCATTGCTTGTTTGAAAATAAAAGAGGGCGGACAATTACTGTCATAGGACTGAACAATGTGTTAGTTCGTATTGCATTGCTTGTTTTTGTTTAGTTCTTTTTTACCCTTTATTTTGGCACATCTCCATTAATTATTGTCACTGATAATAGCATATTTATAGTTTTTCTTTCATCGACTCCTTGAAAGGATTTAATCTGTTTATAGTTTGACAAAAGAAGCACATATATTTGACAGATTTTGCACATCTCTTTTTATTTTCATCAGGACAACAATACTGTGAAGATGCCAGAAGCAAGGAAAAGATCTATCTTGGAATTACTTTAATATGATTGTTGTTTTAATTTCTCTAGTATCTTGTTGTTTTAATTTGTGATGTTGAAGGTTGAAGCACTGTGTTATTTTCATCGCTCCAAGTACTGTTGTGAACTTTTAAATGTGATGTATTGTTTTTATGTATGAACTTAGCGATGTTGTTGGTTGTAGAACTGGTGTTAATTTTTCTTTTAATTTCTCAATGCTATATTGCTTGTTTTATTTGCATTAATGAGGGTGATTATGACTTATGTTAATTACTGTGGATATATTTTGTTCACAGCATGGATGATAATGTGAATACCGATAATTTCATTGATGAAGAATCGAGCGATGATGATTTGTTATTAACGAATGAGTTTAGTTGGACGAAGTTCGAACACCTGAGTCATAAAAAAAATAAAAATCAACTATAATTAATTACTATGCCCACTAGTGAAAAAATAAAATATTTAATACCATTCAACTTCAGAAAGTGGAATACAACTAATGAGTGTATATGGTTGAAGAATGTTATTCTAAAAGTGCACCTTGCTTAATTACATCAACCATTAATTATTTATTTGTGTGAAATAGTGTTTGGTCACTAATTAATTATTGTTTTGATTAAGGATTAATTTTCAGACAAAAAGCTGGAAAAGTAAAAGTGCAATTCCAAAATTATTGGTTATATATGAGTTGAGTTTGAATATATTATTAAATTTGTTAAAGTACATACATAATTATTCGATATAAGCTTAGTCTAATATATTTCACATAATTAATATTAAATTTGAGACAAATGCCTAGCTCAAATGCTAAAAACGAAACCTTACTATCATTGATCTGAATTTGAGTATCGTTTGGAGTAAAAGGTGAAATTCAAAAATATATATAAAAATAAAATTTAACATCAAGTATGTTTGAGTTGTTTATTTTTGATAACTTAATTTACAAGTAACAAGTATATAAGTTTTAAAATAAATATTATTTTATATTTAAAATATATAAATAAGTTATTTAATATGTAACTACTCTTATTCCTTTTTATCAAATTAACTCTTACCTTATAATCAAAATAAATAATATTTTACTTCGACGATAGAGGATATATATCTAAGCTAAAAGAGTAACATATAAGCAAGTTTACTTTTAAATAAATAATTTTAACGGTTAAAAGTAAATTACTTATTTTGATATCATAGTAAGACTACATTTATAAATAAGTGATTTTTTTTTACTTCAAAGTAGTAATATATTCAAACACGTTTTCTTTCAAATCGCTATTCAATAAAAATATCAGAATGTCTACTTTTTACTCTAGAACCCTGAGCTGAAAGTACTTTTGTAGAAGTGATGTTTCAACGTGTCTTAAAGTGGACGAAACGACTTTTTCATATAATGGTTGGTTTCTGAAGAACCCTACTAATTTCCTCGAGGACGTATTCTTGTAGGGTGACCGGCTAATGTCCGTTCTTTCTAGGCATAGCCATACAAGGAATCTATGCATTCTTCCAAGGAGGAGTTTTTATGCCTTAGTTGAATGATTCATAAATATAAATAAGATTAATATTTCTTTTTGAAATTAATATAATCCAGAGATACCAATTTGGAAATACAAACTTGTGTTTGACAAGAATTACATTAACATTATTTCCTCAAACGTAAACAAATTCACACTTCACTTTTACAACCATCAAATAATGAAAGAATACAAACACAAACACCAGCGCACGTTAGCCAAATAAGTACTTAATCAGTTCACGAAACGGCAGTTCCCCCTGATCTCTCCTTGTTTACCAGTAAGAACATCAGTGGATCCCATACGCACCATAGCAGCCCCGAACTTCTTCGCCCAAACATTACCGTACTTAACATTGTCCACGACCAATTTCCTAGTCAAGGGACTGTCCAGCAATGTCTGGTCCGAAGTCAATAGCCCCCTACGACTCTGCAAATTTGTATAATACTTATTATCCAATCGGATTGGAGTTTGAATATCCAGACTCACAATCGGGTCAACCCCGTTATTCGCTGGGGAAGGGCATCTGGTTTTCAAGAATGCAGCATAAGCAGAATCCAATGAGGGATCCTGTGGGTGGGTTGTATTGAAACTGTAAAGACGGCTCGAAAATGAAGAACAATGAGAGACACCAATGGAGTGTGCACCAGATAGTGTAACCATTTCATCAAGTGAAAATCCCTTTCTTTTGAAGTTGTCTTCAAGTTGCTTGGCGTTGAAGAAAGGTGGAGGGAGTTCCTGCAGAACTTCGGAGCTTAAAGAAACACGGCCATCACGTCGTCCAGCAGGGACGTCATAGCAAATGCCTCCAACTTTAAGGGCGCTGTCACGAGCAGCAAATGCAAGAATGTCTGCACATGAGACAGTTTTAGGACATACAGCCTCTATCAGAGCTTTAGCCTCGTCGATTACCTCGAACCCTCTAAGGCTCGGGTTATTCACAAAATTATCTTTCTCAGCAGCTGGTTTTCCAGGAATTGAATCCAGCAACAGCGAACCATCACAACCCTGAAATAATTTAAGCGCGATATTATCAAATAAATTTAATCTTTTTTGAGATGCAACAAATTATTTAACAATTACGTACTCTAACAAAGCAGTCGTGGAAATGCATTCTAATGAGCCCAGCAGCTATTCCTGGATTGAGTGACACAGCTTTGTTCACTGCATTTCTTACAATCTTCTCGGCAAGAGGACATGTTTTCACGTAAAACCCGACTTTGAGTGGCGCTACTTTCGCCGGCAGTGCAGGTTTAGGTTCAGCCAAAACAGATGCAGAAAGAGAGAAAACCACCACGCAAAAGAGCAGTGCAGCTACTGCAACCTTCGAAAGTTTGAAATTCATCATCTTCTTCGATTTTCGCAAAGGAAACAGAAACTGCTGGGAGTACTGAAGAAGATAGAGATGGATATTGAATTTCTGAAGAAACGAGAGAATTTATAACTGGAAAAATCAGAAAATAAAATTGCATGTGGGAAGAATTAATCAATAGTTTTGCATCGTGCCAACTGCAACTGCAATGTTTGAAGCTTTCTTCAAAGAACCATTCATTCCAGCTAACATCCTTCCCTTTTCAAAATCATTTGAAACCTTCTTATATAATTATATATAGTGGATTAATTTGATTTTGTTTGACTTTCATCAAATGTCACATTAATTATAACTTATAATTTGTTTATACTGCAACTTGGAAGTTGTTTACATGCATACTTTGGATTTATCTATAGACTTGAATGTTTAGATTAAACAGAATATTTGCCTGTTCTTACATAGAAGGGCTATGCTCAAAATCAAATGCAAATGGGGTACTTTACGCGTCTTTCTTTATTCAAATCAGAATAATGAATGAGATGTCAAACTCCACGACTGCTAACGATATCTTACATGTATTTATTTGTTAAATAATTTTGTTATTAAAAGTAAAAACATTTCAATTCTTTCGGTAGGAAATATTTAGCTCATGTATGGTGATGATTAAAATCAGTTTTTTCGTAAATTTTGATAAAAATTGATGAAATATGTGGTTGAAAAGTTGTGGATCCCATGAAACGTATGATTAAAATTAATTATTAAATTTGACTTAGATTGAAATTTTAATTTTAATCAATACCAAACAGGGGCTTAATTTTCTTCTCTTATTGTACATTTATTTTGATAGTTTTGAATATTTGTCGCATGTAATTATACCTTGCGGCCTGCGCGGAAGGGAGAAACCTAAGAGGCTAAGAAGACACTCTTATCTTAGGTCATTTTTGATCGGAAGTTTGTTTGGTCAAATGAACTATAAGAATCTAACGCCTGGTCCAAAGTTCTCTCAATTTCAATTGCAGCGACGGAGTCGATTGGCATCTCGATGTCGACCCTTCACATCATGGGGTTGAATAAAGTCCTAAGGGTTCAGTTCGTCGATTCAAGTGTAAAAATTAATCTTATTAGGTAGCTTATCTTCCCTTAATAATAGCTAATTAAAATAATCATACAGAATTATACATCCATAGACATGGATGTGATGAATAATAGGTTAAATTCGCCAATGGTCATCTAACTTTATAATTAGTGTTATCAATGCCACCCAATTTTATTTTGTTTTACCATAGCCATCAAATTTTATACTTAGTGTCACCATGTCCACTCAATTTGATTTTATTTCACCATGGTCATCCAATTTCATATCATGTTTCACCATGTCCACCCAATTTCATATAACATTTCATCATGACCACTCAACTTCTTTTCATCATTTTCATTAATTTTAAAAGGGGTAAAACGGTAACTTTGCATTATATATATAAATAAAATTTAAAAAAGTTAAAATAAAAACTTATTTAAAAAACATTACTTAAAAAAATAAAATAAAATAAAATAAAAACTNTAAAATTAATGAAAATCGTGAAAAGAAATTGGGTTGTCATAGTGAAATATTATATGAAATTAGAAGGTTATAGTGAAACGTTATATGAAATTGGGTGGCAATAGTGGAATAAATCAAATTGGATGGCTATAAGTGGCTATTAGTGGATTTAACCCGATGAATAATAGAAAAATGTGAATTGGATTGAAATTGTAAGTCAATTTATTTATCTACTTATAAGTAAAAAAAAATACATAATGTTACTTGTAAGTAAATAAGAAAATTGTAAAATAAATCACATTTTTATATAAACAAATTAAAAATAAGTAAGTGGATTTCTTGATTTAATCTTACATTTCATAGGAATTGTTGACCTCACTTTTTGCAAAAATGACATGGACAACAGACGTCGAGCCTACTTGCGTCCACTCAAATAAAGTTCCAACACGCTTTGACCGGAGACTTGGTTGAACATAATCACTATATACGAACGTGGGAAGTACTTTAACAAGCGAGATTAAAATGTTCAGACATCAACGACATGTTTAAATGTGGTTGTATATAAATCATCAACTATAACCAACTCAATCAAAACAAAATAATCTAAAATCAAGTAGAGAAGAATGCGAAATGAGTTGGAGAATATTGAAAATGGCTTATAAGTGTTGAGAGTTGCATTAGATTCAAATGTTACAAGAGTTTTTATTTATAGAGTTCTTATCGAAATGGTAACCGTTTGATAAGAATCACGGGCCTCATCTCCCACGTCGAAGCATCATATCACTAGTTTGCTACGCATTTAATACATTGACAACGGGTTAGCCATCCTACGTCCTAGGCAGATAAACTTAAAATTCATTATTACAAACGTTACATCAATCATTCTTAAATATTGTCTGCAGATCATTTGAGAGCCAGCGAGGACTTCAGAATAGTGAGCTTTGGAGTGGAGAGTTTTGGAGTCTTTTTTTAAACTTCGCCACTCATTTTCCCTGCCACTCTGTCCAATTGAGGTCTTCGTTGGCAACTTGACTTATATCCCACGTGGACTATCACGTAATCTTAGTTTGAAGCTTCGGTAGTGAGGCGTACAGAAATCACAACTATTAAACAATTTATCCATCACACATTTCTATCTCTTTCTATTTTCAACTTCTTATAATTATATTCAAACAAATACTAAGAACCGATAGAAACTTAAAAGTAACGGTGTCGTATGGTTGTACACGGAAATTGTGATAATGAATATTCATGCACGTAACAGCACATTAGAATAAGAATAACTCTACTTGTATATAATTTAGGTTACATAATGGTATCCATATTATGTAACCTAAATTATGTACACCAAGCATCACTCTTAGAATAAATCACAATCCCAAATACAATTTCTCTCCCAAGAATGGGGTTAATGAAATAAAATGGTGCGACATGCCAAACGGCGAAACATCAAACTCAATTTAGTCGTGGCGCACGTTGGCCAAATAATCAATTAATCAGTTCACGAAACGGCAGTTCTTCCTTATCTCTCCTTGTTTGCCAGCAAGAACATCAATGGAACCCATGCGCACCATAGCAGCTCCAAACTTTTTTGCCCAACTATTACCATACATAACATTGTTCACGACCAATTTCCTAGTCAAGGGACTGTCCAACAATGTCTGGTCCGAAGTGAATAGCCCCCTATGACTCTGCAAATTTGTATAGTATTTATAGTCCAATCGGGTCGGGGTCTGAATATCAAGATTCACGATCGTGTCAACCGTGTTATTCGCCGGGGGAGGGCATCTGGCTTTCAAGAATGCAGCATAAGCAGAATCCAAGGAAGGGTCTTGTGGGTGTGTTGCATTGAAACTGTAAAGACGGTTCGAAAATGAAGAACAGTGAGAGACACCAATGGAGTGTGCACCAGATAGTGTAATCATTTCATCAAGTGACAGTCCCTTTCTTTTGAAGTTGTCTTGAAGTTGCTCGGCATTGAAGAAAGGTGGAGGGAGTTCCTGTAGAACTTCGGAGCTTAAAGAAACAAGGCCATCACGTCGTCCAGCCGGCACTTCATACCAAATATTTCCAGCTTTAAGGGCACTATCACGAGCAGCAAATGCAAGAATATCTGCACACGATACTGTTCTTGGGCATATAGTCTCTATTGTAAATTTTGCTTGGTCAATCACCTCGAACCCCCTGAGGCTTGGGTTATTCGCCAAATTATCTTTCTCTGCGACTGGTTTACCCGGAACTGAATCCAGCAATACTGAACCATCACAACCCTGAAATACAAATATGAACAGCATATGAGAAAAAATATACGAGTAGTTGACAATGCAGAGCCTGAAATTGGATAGGTACGTACCCTGACAAAGCAGTCATGGAAATGCATTCTAATGAGACCAGCAGCCATTCCTGGATTGAGTGACACGGCTTTATTCACCGCATTTCTTACTACCTTCTCAGCAAGTGGACATGTTTTCGCATAAAACCCGACTTTGAGTGGTGCTACTTTGGCCGGCCGTGCATTCTCAGGCTTAGCCAAAGCTGGTTTGGAAAGAGAGAACACGACAAGGCTAAAGAGCAGTGCAACTGCTGCAACCTTCGAAATTTTGACATTCATCTTCTTCTTCTTCTTCTTCTTCTTCGTGTCTTAGTTTTTTCACGAAGGAAATTTTTACTCGAGAACTACTTAAGAAGATTGAGAATATGTATTGACAAGAAACAAGAGAATTTATAGAGAAGAATTGATATGGTGGCAGAATTGATTAATAGTTTTGATCATAGAAAAATTAACGCGTGCCGACGTGCCAACTGCAATTTTTGAAGCTTTCTTGGGCATATCTGTATTTGAACAATTCATTCACTCTTACAAGTTACATCATTTCCCCTTCCTCCTATGGACAGCTCATTTTTTTTACTTTATCTCACTCATTTGAAAGTTTCTTGTTTAATTATATATTGTAAATAAGCTATTAATTATTTGTTTTTGGTGGATTTGGTCGCCAAATGTCATATCTTTTTGCAGGATTGAGATATTTCGATTTCATATTAAGACCTTTTTTGATCTTAAACTTAGTTGGATTTTAGTAAACTCTACGTTGGAAAGTTCGTATGAACGAAACTTTATGCGTGTTGGTTTTCTTAATTAAATCACATTAGGACCGAGCTGCTCTGCTAGGCCTGTAAAAGGCCTGGCAAAGCAAATGTGAGATGGGAGGTGTTTAACATTTGGGGGTTTTTTTTTTAATGACGTGGGTCCTCGGGACCCACCTCATGTGAGAGAAACAGCTCTACCAGGCCTTTTATAGGCCGGTAGAGCAGATTAACTCATCACATTAATCCTGGAGGACATCATTGTTAAGGGATGAATTTCACGTCGATTAAATATCGAAATATAGATCAATATATAAGGTATTGTACCATTTCTTTTAATAATATTGACTTTTTAAGATGGAATTTTAAGTGATCTTAATATGGTATCAGGTCTCATTAAGTTCAAACGAGCAATTCGATCCTATTAAAATTCAAAACGAACCCACGAATTTCAAGATCGACTGGTTCAATTGAGCCAACATCTTGCAGGACATGTTAAAAAATAAATCCCACATTAATTAAATATCAAAATATAGACCAGCATGTAAATTGATTTACTTCTTTTAATGGGGTTGAACTTTTAAGATGGAACTTTAAGCGATCTTAATAATCATAAGCCGTATCTTACAAGTAATTATTCATAAAGTTTTGGTAATAAAACATTTCATGAGAAAGGTAAATTATTGGATAAGTGAATGTGATACACGCGTTTTCACGCTTTAGGGGTTGTCTGAAAATGTTTTAGATAAAAATTTTAATAGATTTTGATAAAAAATGATATAATATATTAACTAAAATGTTGACGAAAATTGTGAGTTTCATAACATGTACTACGGTTAAAATTAAAATTCATCCAATTTAAAAATTGATAAAAATTTTACAAAATTTATCTAACAGTCCGGAGTGACAACACATTCTCCCTTCATAAACCATTGCCGGTGTTGGAGAAGAGAGATGAATGAAAATTTTGACTTCATTCATGGATTCTTCACTGTAGGGAACGAGGAAAGAAGAAATGTAAAACTAAAAATGAAGAATTAAGCAAGATGGAAGGTATATAGGATACAAATTACGTGCTCGTTTTGCATGAATTTTGCTTTTTTTTTTTCCCTATTTCGTGTAGATGAGTTTTCTAAGAAAACTATTTGAAAACTAATTTCTAAACGAGCTTTCTATTTCGGAACTGCTTTTAGAGGAAATCAAATTAGGCAAAATTCAAACAAGTCAAAAAATATATTTTCGGTCTCAAAAGTTCTTTTCAATTGAACTGTCCTCTAATGAAAATAAAAACTTTTTGAGATGAAATTTATTTTTCAAGGTACCTTTAATTAAAAATATATTACAATAAGCCCATGTTTGATTTTGCTAAAAAATATATTTTTAGTAGATTTTGATAAAAATTTGTCAGATGTGTGGTTGTCCTATTAAATATGTGGTTAAATTAATTGTTAAATTTCACTTAAGTTTTTATTAACTTTTTAATTAAATCAAACATGGTCTAAGTCTATAACTTAAAGCTTTGCATTTTTATAGAAGTACTTTAAAAAAATCTACACTCTCTTTTTGACACCTTATTATGGGAGTGTTCGATATGGATTAAAATCGGATTAAAATTGAAAAATTAGTCGTTGTTGTTGACTTTTATTAGACGAGCGAGACCCAATAACGACCATATTTTCAATTTTAATTGGATTTTAAACTTAACCAAACATGCTCTATGTAAATCATTGTGTAACTCTATTTGTATAAGTTGAGAAGATGATTTAGTTAAGAATATAGAACAACGAAAAAGTATCGAGAACATTGTGCAATTAGCTTATGTTTAGCCCATATTTTTAACCACACATTCTCTAAAAAGGTACTATTTCGAAATGTCTTTTGGCCCAAAAATGGGCCTCAAACAAGGGAAAAGTGAACATAAAAAAAGAAAGGAAGAAAATAAATTAGTGTTATTATAATTCTTATATTATTTTATTGGTTCTAAATTTTTAAGTGTTTATAACTAATCAGAAAAAAATAATGTTAAAAATAGATAAAAAGTAAGAATCTTCACCAATCATGCCATAATTTTATATCAAAAAATAGAGATGACAGTGGGGTATTATGAGACAAATCGTTCATTTCGACCCTCCTTCCATGGGATATTTTTGTTACGTTGCCTCGTCTCCATACTCAACTAAAGCGAGACGATACGTGATCGGGGTGGGGCAAATCCCCTGTCGCATTTATCATCCCATATATTTATTTATTTTATTTTTTGCTTTTATTTTTTATATATTTAGTTAGTAAATATTTTTTTTTTAATTCGTTAAGAACAATTTAATTCTCTTTAAAAATGATAATAAATCTTTTTATATTTATTTAATAAAAAAGTTTAAATTGGAAATTAACTTTAAACTGATGGATAGCGAGATTGAGACTATATTTTCCATATCCATCCCATAATTGACCCCATATCGTATCATCTCTGTCTCGTTTATTCGATTAGACGGGTAATCCCATCATTTTCGGTAATATTCGGACGAGACTTCCCGAATATCGAATTGAGCCAAATTTTTTAGTTTTTACCATCCCTCAACTATAATTCCTATTATCATCTAACACCGATCACCAGTGAACCAAATAGTATGATTCGAGCAGTCTCCTCCAAAAATCTCGTATAAATATAACTCAACAAATCGCTTTTCTACATCGTCTCTTCCCTTTTCTCTCGCCCTTTTTGCTTTCCGTTAACGCACGCAGAGTCTATTCGGACTCCGCCTTCGCTTCGATTCATCCCGTTCTTGTTTATGAGGTAAAAAATTATTTGCAATTCGTAATTCTTCTCCCGTTGGACCTTTTCGCTTTGTTACAATTTTTTTTTTCTTGATATGGTCTCAATTTTATATTCAGATCTGTTTTCATTATAAAAGTTAGGTTATTAGCTTTTCTTTTTTCAAGATTTGTAATTATTTGGTCCGTTAATTTATTCGGTTTTGTGGATTATTTAGATCTGGAAATGTTTTGATTTCATCTTCGAATTTTTTTTTAATTTTAATTTTTAGTTTTCTCGTTGTAGAGATGTAGTAGCTAGGACTTAGAAGGGTTCGTTTCTTTTTCTTTTTATTTTTGTTAGTATTTTTTTTATATCGAGAGATCTAAATGAAAATTTTCTTTTACTTTTAAGTTTTTGATTCAAGTGGTGGTTGGAATGACGCTTATAATTTTTCTTTCATTTCTTGTTCCCATGCAGCTCGAAGGAGAGACCCACTCTCGGGTAAGATCATTTCCTTTTTAAGAATTACATTTTAAGGAATTATATGCAAGAGGATGATGATAAATTTCTATTAATTTGTACACAAGAAGTAGCAACACTAAGTTGTGTCTCATTCTAAATAAGTAGAGTCAAACTCTGAATTTCTCAATACATTTATAACTAAGTCTACAAACAAGTTGTATGAGATTAAATATCTGCAATATCGTTAAGTAATATCAATTTTGGTCTGCCTATTCTTCTTCTAAGAGTTTTCTTGAGTTAACATTGATCTTTTAGACAAGTACGAATTCATCATTCTATGCAATACAGACCCTTACTATCTAATCCAGTTATTCCCTTGATTTATCTTCAATTGGTCATTTTTTCATCCTTAAACAGACACTTAGTACCACAAAACATGGTCTAGAAACATCTCTGAAGAATTTCTTATTTTAATTTGACAGGTAATTTTTGATTAGTCAGAATTCTTAATTGTTTTCTGCATCCTGTCCATCTCATTCTAATCCTATGCATTGTACTCTCTTAAAAGTTATCATTCATTGTTAAGAGTTGGACTTATATACTATTCTGTATCGTTTTTCTAGTGATCAGATAAAAATGATTTTGTGTTTTGAATTCACTTGAAGTCTCTTATTGTTATTTTATGATTATTATGTTGTATTTCTAAACATAAAAATGCTAATATGTTTTAACAATAGCAGTGTTTCTTCATTTGTTTCCGAATGATTTTACCGGCACAGATTCCATTACTTATTCTGATGTTTTCCTGCTAACGAATCATATCTAATTACAGTGGTACGCGGATTAAGACCCGCAAACGGAATATTGCTGCGCCACTGGACCCTGCAGCATTTTCGGATGCAGTGGTCCAGATTTATCTGGATAATGCTGGTGATCTGGTAATCCTTATGTTTTTAAATTATAGGTTGTTTATTCTACCTTACTCGCCACTTTCATTTCTTTGCATGTACGTGCCCTATTGCGTGGTGCATGGGCTTGGCGGCAGGTGTAGAATGAGTGGAGCAACTGATGTTTGAGTGTTGTGCAGGAACTTGTTGCTAAGAGCATTGAATCCTCAGATCTAAATTTTTCAAGATACGGTGACACCTTTTTCGAGGCAAGTAGCTTGGATATTTTTGTTCCTTCATAATTTTGCGATAGTATTAACTGGCAACATGTTTGTACTCAGACCTTTTCTTCCGGCAACAGAGAAACTAGCCTATTTTATTGTGTGCATGCATGTAAGCCTGTAAGGGTATTCTCCATTGCCA